TAATTTTGTATTTTCATCTTCCTCATTCTTGGAACTATCTCGTAACATAAGAATTGGTTTCTCGTTATTCAAATGCACAGACCACTCTTTGGCTGACTCTTGGTCAGATTCAATTTTTAAATATACTTCACTCTTTTCCTTCCTAGGACTTTTTATATCCGCAATGAAATATGTTACTTCTTGCTCTTTATTTGTTAATACACCACTTAGTTTTTGCTCTTCTTTCGTATCTTTGTTAACATCTTTTCTAGGATGTAGAGAAAAATTACTAGGGAAAAACTGGTTCTCCTCCATTCTTGGAGAATTACGTTCTCTGTTTCGTTCGGCTTTTTCAACTTCTCTTATGAGATCGATGAAAAATAATTCTCTTGGCGAAAGAGGTCCTTTCGAACTTTTTGTGTCCAATTCATCTTGACGAGTAACTGTTGCTAATTTTAAACAATCTGTCATAGATTCTCTTTGGTTCTTCAAAATATCATTTCCAGATTTTAGTACGTCTTCGTCTTTATCATCTTCATCAACATTTTTCTCTACATTCACAGTTCCAACATGTTCAACATTTTTACCCGAATTACGACGATGAATCACAAGAGGAGGAAGATCTTTATGCTTTCTAGTTTTATTATCCTGAGATTCATTCAAATTTGTACTTGATTTGTCTATTAGAATTTGTCTATTAGAAACTGAATCGTTTAAAGCTGTACCATATATTGTATCTTTCAGTTTTATATCTTGCGAATGATCGAGTTTCGTATCGATCAAAATTCTTGATTTTAGAGAATCATTTGCGCCATACGATTGCAATTTTACATCACTATTGCGTTTAATTTCGTAACATTTCCAAATTAAAAGGGAACACAACATAATGAAAAGCCAAATGAGAAAGGCAATGAACCAGTACAAAACGAGCCAACCAACAGACCAACTTTCAGTTTTGCCTGAATGATGAGCAGTGAATGCACTGATTAAAAGTGGAGCCAATATGATCCAATAAATCAAAAATATACAGCACGTGACTATGAAAAGTATGGCTAATCTATATGGTTTCGAATATGAGTAACAACTTTTTGCATCATTTTTATTTAATAATAACTTGTGCTTCTTCGAGGCTATCGAATTTGTATAAT